TTTTAGGGTCCTTTTGGCTTGACGATACAGCTCCTTGTCGACACCATTCTGGATTGTTTATGGAGCTAATTAGGATCATATCATGGAGGGCAAGTCGAGTGCCTCTTCTACGTCCGAAACCTCTGCCTTTGTTTTTGGGTCTGATCGGCTACGCTTCCATCGCACACCCTCGGGAGATATAGTCTGTTTCTTCTGCAAAGAGCCTGGACACATTCAGAATCGTTGTCCTCGCCGCAATAGCTGCAATTATTGTAAAGCTGAAGGACATAAGATCGGTGACTATCCGATCCTTGCCAAACGTGGCCGCGGCAAGCCTTCCGGCTCGACTCCTAGTGGGGGTGCTCGTGCTCCTGCGTCGGGATCTTCCTTTGCTACCGTTGCTGCTCCTGGTCCTTCTATCGCCTCTTCTCCTGCTAGTGTCGTTACTCCTGACTACATTCGCCAGTTAGTTCAGGAGGAGATTAAGGATGCTCTTCCTACTGCTCTTGGTTCCGTGTTTACTACTGGTATGATATCTCGTACTCCCTCTTCCTAGCCTCTTGACTCTGCAGCCTTTAATCATATGACAGGTTCACATTCCTCGTTTCGGTCCTTACGGCCTAATCCATCTGTTATGCTTCAAGTTGCGGATGGTACTTGTTTACCCGCTCAGGGGATCGGCGATATTCATCAGTCTCGAGTTCATATTTCAGATACTCTTTATGTGCCTAAGCTTGTACCTAGTCTCGTGTTTGTTGGCCAGCTTGCAGAGGATGGTTGTCGTGTTACTTTTGATGATCGTGGATGTGTTGTGCAGGACATGAAAACAGGGAGGGAGATAGGCAGAGGAACTAAGGTTGGTCGAGTTTTCACCTTGGATAGCTATTCTGGGTCACAGCCGAGGACGTGGACAGTTGAGGCCAGCAATGGTGTTTCTGGGGCTGTTCGAGGTGGAGCTCGCCTGGAGAGCAATGTTGATAATTTTGGATACACTGTTAACTGTCCAATTGGGATTTATGGCATCGTCAGTTAGGCCATCCGCATTCGGCTCGTTTGTTAGAGATGTTTAAACATAATTTATGGTCGATTAGTTCAGCTTCGGATTCTCGTGATTGTGTTCATTGTATTGAGGCTAAATTATCTCAGCAATCGTTTGCATCAAGTACTACGGTTTATACAAATCCGTTTGAGTTGGTGCATACAGATTTATGGGGTCCTTCTCCCGTAAACTCTCGGGTTGGGTTTCGATATTTCACACTATTTGTTGATCATGCTACCAGATTTACATAGGTTTACTTTCTGCGCCACAAATCAGATCTTCTCAAGGTGGCCAAGGATTTTATTCAGATGGTTAAAACACAGTTTGGTAAATTGTGAAGACTGTACGATCAGATCTGGGTGGTGAGTTTATTTCTGGACTTCTGCAAGAGTTTTTTATAGTGCTTGGAATCTTACCGCAAGAATCTTGTCCGGGTGTCTCTCAACAGAACGACCTGGTTGAACGCAAACATCGTCACGTTCTCGAGTTGACTCGTGATCTTCTGTTTCAATCTTGTGTCCCCGCCTCTTTCTGGGTTGAGGTCATCCACACGATGATTTATCTGATTAATCGGCAACTCACTCCTATTCTTGATCAAAGGAGTCCTTATGAGGTTCTTTATGGAAAACGACATGCCTATAAGGAACTAAGAGTGTTTGGGTGTGTTTGTTACGTGCGTCTTCCCAGTAGAGAACGTCATAAACTCTCTCCCAAAGCAGTGAAGTGTGTGTTTATCGGATATAGTGACAAACACAAAGGATACGTCTGCTATGATGTGGCTCAACGTAGAGTCCGCTTTTCATGTAATGTTACTTTTCTTGAGCATCTCTCGTATTATGGACACGATGGTCCCGTCACTCGCCCTGATCTGGACTTTCTTTAGACACTGCATTCATTTCCCGACGTTGCTCCTCGACGGGATGAGCCTCCTGATCCTCCCACGCCTCCTCCTGATACAGCTTCCCTCCCACTCGATGTACCTCTCTATCCTCGGCCAGCTCACCAACTTACATGTCTTCTTCCAGCTCATCTGCACACCCAGAGCCCTTAACTGAAGGCGTTGCTGCTCACTCATCAGGAGAAGGGTCTTCTAACCATATCGATCACCAGTTTGAGGAAGAAGCCGAGGATACCCCTCTTGATCAGCACTTAGCATCTGAAGTCCATGGTCCCCAGCTGAGAAGTTCGCTGCGTGTCACCAAGGGGCAAAAGTCAGCTCACTTGTCCAATTTTTTGGCTTTCTCGACAGCACCTATTCATGTTCCTGCTACATATAAACAGGCCCGGGGGAATCCCGATTGGGATGCAGCTATGACAACGGAGGTTCATGCGCCCGAAGCTAACCACACTTGGGACATAGTGCCTCGTCCCCTTAATGCACCTATTATCGGGTCCAAGTGGGCTTATAATGTGAAACTCCATCCAGATGGTTTTTTTTTTATGAGGGTGATTAAAATTAAAAACCAAAAAACAAAACCAGTTCAACAAGCACCAGACTTCCCCCTGAAGGAAGGGACAGCCCAGAGAACAGCAAGAAAGCAAAAACAAAAAAGAAGACCCCTGCACAAGAAGTGCCCTCGACCAAAGCAAAAGAAAGGGAGAAAGAATGAAAGAATAAAAGTAAAGAAACAAAACCAAAAAAATGCCCACCAGCAGGCCCCTATATCCCCAAAATAGGTCCCCCAACCCAAAGAACAAGAGCGCTCAGCCTCGAGCAGATCCCCAACAGTTCCGCAAAGAAGCAGCAAACTGACGCTGCTCATCTCGCAACCTTCGCCGAACCACTCCTGCCCCAAGAACCACTTTCATTGCTTACCACTCTACGTCTGATTAGAAAGCTGTGACCTCAACCAGCCAAGACATTGATCTCTGCAAATCTTCTTATGCGCAACCAACCACTCAACCGAAGCTTTGATTGCCTTGATGAACACAACTCTCGCACTGCAACTGATGTCATTAAAAGTGCGGTTTTTCCTTTCTAACCAAACCTGCCAACAGATCGCATGAAGTGCACAAAACCCGATCCAATCACCAGTGTTGTCCGGGCTCTCACAACTCCATCCAGATGGCGCTCTTAAACGTTTTCAGACCAGGGTCATTGCTCAGGGGTTTCGACAGGAGTTCGGGATTGACTATGAGAAACTTTTTCTCCGGCGGCCAAAATGCAGACAGTTCAGACTTTATTTGCAGTGGCTTCAATGAAGGGGTGGTGTCTTAAGAAGTTGGATGTAAAGAATACCTTTTTGCATGGGGATCTCAAAGAAACCATCTACATGGAGTGTCCTCCTGGTTATTTATCTGGTGACAAGTCGAAAGTATGCTTACTTCGTAGGTCACTTTATGGTTTGAAGTAGGCTCCCCAGGCGTGGTTTGAGAAGTTCCATGATACTACCCTGCTTGCTGGCTTTCGACAAAGTGATAATGATCCATCCTTGTTCCTCCGGCATACAGATCGCGTTCTTACAGTTTTACTCATTTATGCCGATGATATGTTGGTGAGTGGGGATGCCGTAGTTGGTATTCAGAAGCTTACTGACAACCTTCATACGGCATTCACCTTAAAAGAGTTGGGGGATGCTTCTTGCTTTCTGGGCTTGGAGATTCATCGGTCTGCGGCTGGATTATTGGTTAGTCAACATAAATATATTGCAGATCTATTGGAGACAACTCATATGGATGAATGTGAGCCATGTGCAACTCCGATGGAGCAGAACTTAAAGCTGCGCCAGTCGGATGGTGATTTGCTACCTGATGGTTCCTCGTATCAGAGTCTAGTTGGAAGTTTAATTTACCTCACTCATACTAGACCCGATATTTCTTATGCAGTTCAGGTAGTGAGTCAGTTCATGGCAGCACCTCGGACTACTCACATGGTGGCAGTTACTCGCCTTCTGCGTTATTTACGTGGCACGACTGATGTGGGTTTGTTCTTTCCGTCAGCTGGTGATCCTGTGATTGAGGCATATGTAGATGCTGATTATGTAGGGTGTCTTGACACTCGTAGGTCTACATCAGGATGGTGTGTGAAGGTTGGATCCTCTTTTGTTTCTTGGCGCTGTAAAAAGCAAGAGAGAGTTTCGAAATCTTCGACTGAAGCTGAGTACCGTTCGATGTCTGAAGTTACTTCAGAACTAGTATGGCTCCGCAGGCTGGTTACAGAACTTGGGGTGTCCTGTGTGCTTCCTATGCAGTTGTATGCAGATAATACTAGTGCGATTCGAATAGCCATGAATCTAGTCCTTCACGATCGGACCAAGCATATTGAGGTGCATGTGCATTATATACGTCAGTTTCTGCTGGAGAAATTGCGTTGTCTTATATTACATCCGAAGATCAGACTGCTGACTTGTTATAAGGCTGTGGCAACCTCTCGTCATTGGTTTATGGCGTACAAATTGATGTTGCGTAGGCATCATCAATTTGAGGGAGGGTGTTAATTGTATTGGGTGTCAATTGTAATTAGCCTTTAATCCTTGTATTAGAAGTATTCGTTAATTATTTAGTGGTCCTTGAGATAGGGTTTTCCGCTATCATAAATAGGTAACGTTAGCCGCTCTTGTAACCTAAGGATTCTCGGATAATACAATTGACTCTGAGTGATTGCTCTTCTACGTGAATTAGTCTCAACGTTATACGTTGAGGATACCACGTCAATAGGTGTGCCTTTGTGATTATGTTTAACAACACAAAGATCAAGATGCACCACTTTAGCTCGTGGGCAAACATTTATCACTTCATGTGTCGAAGAACAGGGCCTGAGAAGTGTGAAGTGATGACCTAAAATCAGAGAAATCGGGGCGGGTCAACGGATCACTTTTACTATGGCGAGAAAGAAGAAGCTGCTGCTTACAAACGGTCTCTCCTAATACAAAAGCCTGAAACAGAAACACAGACATGTCTCCCCTGCTTCCACTTGTAACGTTTTTTCGCCCTCTCTCTCTTTCAATTCGTCTCCTTTCATTCCTGCTCTATCTAGCTTTGTTCAGTCTTTGGAGACTTTGCTAAGAGAAGCGGCGTAGTACTTCTTGAGACAAATCGGTACGGCAACAGGCAACAGAAGCCCAAACAGGTTGAACCCCCAAAACGCCATGTTCGCCACCGCCAGAGCCCTCCCGAAATACAGCCTCCTTGCGCCGGACCACCCCTGCCCGCCGCCGCCACCACCGACGCCCTCTGATTTCGCGAGCTCGCTGCGGAGCCAGTCGGCGAGGCTGAAGATGCGGCGGGAGTTGTAGAATACGGGGACGAAGATCCCGACGGGGAGCGAGAATCGGTCGGAGAAGGCGACGCCTTCCATGAACAGCTGGCTCGCGAGCAGGAAAACGTGAGGGGCGGCGGCCTTGATCCCGTCCTTGTCCCCCTCGAGGATCCCCTCGCAGATGTAGGCGACGGGGAGGAAGATCCCCAGGACGGCACCGAAGAAGACGTAGAGGCGGAGGGTTCTGGATCTGGTGTCGAGATTCATGGCGTCCTTTTGAGGGAGCGGGGGGAAGGCGAATCGGGAGAGGAGGAAGATGTAGAAGAGGGAGAAGACGACGAATGCGAAGTCGGAGATCCCCACGAGTCCGCTGGCGGCGAGGACGATGATCGCGGCGAGGGAATTGAGCTGGTAGAAGCTGAGGAGGGATGCTCTGTTTCTTGGGGCGGCGGTGGAATTCGGTGGCAATTGGGTCTTTTTGTTGTCTTGGACAAATTTGTGGCCTTGTTCTTGCTCTTGTTGGTCCTTCGGTAGGGTTATGTCTGCGCTCGGCCCGACTCCTCCTGACATTTCTTCTTCTTCTTCTTCTTCTTCTTCTTCTTCTTCTTCTTCTTCTTAGATTTTCACTCTTTACTCTGGTTGTGGTTTGCTTCTCTGTTTCTGGGGACTCTGATCTTTTTTGTTTTTTTGTTTTTTTAGGTCTGGAGGGGAGGACACGTGGAGGGAGATGAGGAAGGGCAGTTGTTTAAGGATTGATTAGTGGAGTGGACGGTCTTATCGGCGTTGCTGAGGGAGAAGACAGTGGAGTAGAGGGGCCTGGTCAATTTGGACAAATGTTTTTGTTTCCCGGCAAGTCGGAGTTCGTATTTTCCGGTGGAAGAATGAATGGTACGAGTGAAAAGTTTACACAGGCTATGGTGCACGACGGACACTATAGAGTCGCACTAATAAATGGTTGAATTTAGGGATTTGACATTAGAGTGCGGTCAAACATGAATCGCGTTTGTGATCGAGTCAACTCGCACGTCTAACATTCGATTAGTTTTTAGCTTTGTACGTGCGGTTTGCAATGGGGTTGAAGTGAAACCGCGTGGTTGCGGTTCAAAAGGACAAAAAGAATTCACTCATCGAACGACAAGTTGAACTTTCCATAAGCAAATGCACTAGGTACTCTGGCAATCGTTGGTGATCAGAGAACTCTATGCCAACTCGACCACATTGTCAATTCAAATATTAATTATGGTGAAATATGCGTTTTTCGATCTAAACCGCACCAAAACCTCATACCTGTGTCGTTCGATTTGACCGCACCAAACTAAATCATTGTCAAGTATGCGGTGCAACCAAATTGATAAGTGATGCGATGAAGTTTGTGTACGGTTTTGACAACAACAATTGCCCACCCCTTGTTGAATTTATGCACAATTTGAATGAATAGGTCACACACGACAAATCACCAATCTAGTAATCACTCGAATTCAAATCATGAAATTGAAAATGTAACCTAAATCCCGATGATGTTTTGTCGTCATTAACTACTTTATCTCATTCAAAAATCTCATCCAAATAACGCATAATATCAACACTGTGAGTCTGTGACGAGGTAGGAGAATGGGAAGGCAGGAAAGGAAGAACTCTGCCAGAATATATGTATCGTGTATGTCAACAAGACCTACAAGTAAGAGACACTAAACCTTATTAGTACAGGTAAAACAATCGAGAGACTGAATCAATGAGAGACCCCAACCCCCAAAAAATTTAACCAAAAATGGAGAATACCGTACCATAAAAAAAGAAGGGAAAATAACACTATAAACTGCTCTGCCTCTGCTAAGTAAATTAATACCAACCAAAACCTCCAGCTGTTGCTAAAGCCACTGGTAAAAAAAGGACGAAACTGAAAAAGGACTCCTGGCAAAAACCCTTTTTTTCAGATCACTCTCGTTTTCTCGTTCTTGTCTATCATTTTTTTTGTCCTGACAGAAGACCATGGCTGTAAAACTGGAACCCTCTGCTAAGAATGTAGTAAAATGACAAAATCAAAATCTGTGCACGTTTGTATGAGAAAACCCCCCGAAAAGATGAAAAGAGAAATGAATTTTGCTCCTCCTTCCTTCCCTCTTCTTTGGTTTATTAGCTCAACGTTCTTTGTTTCGGTATGTACTTTAGCTTCACCCCTTTCTCAGGTTTTGCTCTGAACTTGCCCTTCAAACCAGCACCTCCATCGACCATCATATCCTCCTCCGATCCTCTGGTACCAAGCTCTATACCTCTACGAACATCTGACGACTCAGCTGTAACAGCACAGCCATTTTGTTGAACACCCTTACCGGCTTTGAATGGTTCAGGTGCGAGAACCAATTTCACATGCTCCGCTGCCATTGCCTCCTTCCACCCTGCATTGGCACTAATGGTTATTCTCTGACATGAAATGGTATAAAAAAACAGAAGAATAGAAATATGCAATAGTTGAGCTTACTCTCTGCAAGAAAAGCTTTAGCCGCCTGGCATGAGAATTGAGACCTCCCAGGAGGTAGACTTCCATCTGGGGATTCTCTAGAGCCACTTTCATCTTGTGGTTGGCCTTTGGTGCCATTTCGGCTAACAGGCCTCCACTGCTGCTTCACTGTTGAACGATTCGAGTGTTTGTCCTGAACATTATTATTGCTCTTCCTCGGAACTTGCTGCTGCTGGTCTGCTTGACCATCCTGTTGGCTAGAATTCCCAAGTGCAACAGAGATAGAGCCAATAAGAACTTCGCGTTTCTTGGCATGATGATCTGGCTGCTGGCTTGTCATTGCTGCTTCCCTATCAACTCTGGGTTTCAAGGTCTCCCCGGTGGCATATTCTACTCTAGCTTTCCTGCTCCACTTTCTGTTCCCGTTAACCATTGCCGCTTGTTTCGGATCCCTGTAAGTTCCGTGATAACCGTTAGTAATATGATTCCACTGGGATTTTGGAGGCACGTGCCACCGACCTACGTGCCTACTACGGTTGCATCCCGGTACTGTCGTGTGCCGTTCGACAAAATAATCTCTGCATGGATCACCAGCAGCTCCAGTATCGTATAGAATCTGATTCTCCAAATCCAACAACTCTTCATCTTGATATGTGAGTTGGAGAGGTTCAGAAGATGATGAAAAGGGATCTGGCTGAATTTCGACGTCGTGTGAATTAGAACTGCATGCAGTTGAACAGGGTAGTTCAGCTGGGGGCTCCTCCATGGTCTCATCACTGTGCTCCTCGATGTCAGGTTTCTCCTCCAGCCTCTGCTCCTTAGCTCTCTGTTCTTTCTGCCTGAGCTTCTTCTGCCTTTTCCGTTCCACAAGTTCAGCTTGCCTACAAGCATTCGGGAAACATGTCGTTGTAAAACACAAATGGTACTAAAAAACATAGTATGGCAAGTTTATTTCGAAATTCAGGTAAGCAGGGACCTTCTCTGGGCAGCTTCTTCCTCCTCCACAAGCAATTTCTGGCACCTCAGAGCTTCCGCATCCTTATCTGCAACCCATGCCTTAATCTGAATGGAGGGAAACCAAGATGCATCGCAAGAATGGGAAATGAGAATACAAACCTCTGCTAAATCAAACAACAATTTATTTTTCTACAAAAAAAAAACACCAACTTATTTGATGGATACAATTAGCTAAACTAACCAGTTTCTGTTCCACCAAGAAGCTGGTGCATGCAACTATGTTCTTTGTCTCGAGACCAGTTTTAGCGGCTTCCCCATCAAAAATATACTTCTGCATTGAGATTGCTGCTCCACACAGAAATGTCTTTTCACTGGCATCATCGAGAATACTAAACAGTTCCTCTGAAGATAAAGGATACCTAAATCTCCCTTGGATAATATCCTGCAGAGAAGTCACAGATCCCATTAGCTTAAACATAGAGCAGGAACAGAATAAAGCAGCAATCTTAAGAAAATAAGACAACTTTGCCTCACCAGAAGAGCAGTACCAGCCCTCAAACAGTACTGTGGAAGGGGAGAAAACCCCTGTTTCCGGTTAAGAGCCATCAATGACTTTATAATTGAAGATCCCGACACTTCCTGGTGATTTACAGGGAAAGAGATATGCATTTAAGCCAAATCAGAGATATGCAATAAAACCAAATCATTATTACGACGCAACAGAAAAACGGAGAAAATGTGGAGGGTGATGGGAAAGTGAATGACTCCCAACAACATGGATTTTAGAGGCAGATAAACTAAACGACCGACCCAAGTCTGCAAGTTGTGACATCCACGCAGCAAATACAAAACAACATACCTCCAGCGCCACATCCTTGAATGACAAAATCTCCTTTGCTTCATCTTCAGAGAGCTGCAAAATACACTGATCGATCAGCAAAGAGACAAAGCCGCAGCACATCAGAACCACTTAAGACAGAAACTTTACCTTTTCCCAAAAGGCTCCTAACAGATTCCTGTTTTTTGTGGTATCCTGACCAAGGGAAAAAAGTTTTTTTTCAGAATGATTCCAATCAACATATGTTACATTTAAAGCCTCAAAAGGGAAGTTTAAAACATATACTCTTATAACCGTTGAGCGAACAACGACAAAAAAATCAGGTACTAAATGCAAGGATACCTTGTCAAGCTTTTTCAGTCGATGGTGAACACGTATGTGCCTCCTATAGTTTATGGAGGAACAAAACTCCCGTGAACACTTGTCACATTTTTGCATCTGAACCTTCAAAGGAGTCAGTAAAGGCCACCCAGGTCCATCTGCAACAATCCATTGGCATATAATCTCAGAACAAAATGCAATTATAACAACAACCACAGACAACACAGCCACATTTTTACATGTTGTTCTGAGTATGGATGAAAGAGCAGCTAGTAGTACCTTGCTGGTCTAGAGCTTGAAGCAGTTGGATCCACTGTACGGGGCTGTCGTTAGTCCTTGGGAAGGAAAGTAGAGGCTCCTTCCCCATTGCTTGCCTGATAAACGTGTCGAGGGAATCATTCCCCTCTTCTGATTTCATCACATCTGTAGCGTTGGCCCCTTTGAGTTTCGCAACTGGCATTTATGCACACAGAAAAAGTACAGGATACGACTACCTCGCTGAAACGCCACTGCACAAAGAACAGCAATGTCAGTTGAAGCAATGTGGCTTTGACTCTGAATTGCCTCCACTCCACATTTTCGTTATTAACAAGCAAAATATAACAAGCCATTGATGTCCAAAAAAACAGCAATGCCAAAGTTTCGAAAGGTTGGGTCAGATAATTGGTATATTCATTCGCTAGATATCACCTACAACATATACAGTTTCGAATTTCCCATTCCCCCATTGACCATTCCCGTCGCCAACCAAAAGACCTTCCGCACCCTGCAGAATTTCAACCGACCTAATTTGATTAGTTCGAGATTTCGCCCCCACCCGGATTTAACCAACGAGACAAAAATCTCTCGGCATCTTTACCCTCGTTCTTGCTCAGCTCCACCAATCGAAAGAGAAAATCGAAACAGCGCCGCGAAATCAATGGTGAAAAAGCTCAATCAGGAATGCCAATACAAAAAGAACAGGAAAAATCGTTCGGTATCGTGCCGGTGACGTGATCTATGAAAAGGGAAGATTGTATTGACGGAACGTATACGCCTGAGCGCCTTTTTTTACATGTAGAGGGGAAAAGGAAAAACACGAGCAGTAAGTGAAGTAATCGGCGATACGTACCAGTTGGAACAAGTGAGAGGCGGAGGGAGGAGAGATCGGTAGAGAGGAGGAAGCAATCTCCGGCGATCGGAGAGGGGAAGAAGCGGAGTGATTTTGAAAGGAGAGAAAATCGGGAGAGAAAGTGCGAGAAAGGTGATCGGCCGAGAACTAGTAGAGGAAGAAAAAGAGAGGAAAAAATTGAAAAGAGAGTTTCCAGGGAGAGAGGGTAAAATTTCAGAAGGAGGGAGCCAAAAAGAAAAAAAAGAAAGAACAGTGTTTATTTAATATTTTATTGGACTTCACATAAAAAAAATTATTGGATGTCTCTGCTTTGTTCTTATGCCGCGCAAGGAGCGTAAGCGTACTAAACTCACTACTAACTACTAAGACAGGACAGCAAATAGGGTCAGTAACCACTTGGTTACTGACACTGACATGTCTGTAATGAATAGAGACCATAGATCTAAGAGGCATGCAATCGTGTGGTTGGGTCGAACGCTGAGTAGGAAAAGGTATTTTTGTCCGTTTATACATTAAATTTTTTTATTTATTTTATTTCGTATTTAATGACTGCACTTTTAAAGAAGTAAAGAGAAATCACTTCTCTGCAACTTTCTATCTTCTTCTCCTTCCTTTTTCTCTCCCAATCTCTTTTCCAGATCTTCTCTCTTTCTCTCTTCCTTTTTCTCTCTCAATCTCATTTCTAGATCTAAATATGCTCCTTTCTCTTCTTCTTTATTTTTTTTACATGACGAATAAAAATTGGAGCCACTCTTTTTCATTGCATTTCTTCTCTTCATCATCTTGTTGGCCTCAATTTTGATTTTTCTCATTTTTTCGGCATTTTGGTGTTCTTGATTGCGGAAGAGGAAATGAGAGGCGACACAAGACGATTTTTCTCTACCTCCTTCTGTTTTTTTTCTTTTAGATAATATATATTGGTATTATAACTCTATACCATATGGTATTCGGTGGTAACGAAATATATATTGATATTACCACACTATACCATATGGTAATGTATGGTATTTTGTGGTAACGAATTATATATTGATATTACCACACTATACCATATGGTAATGTATGGTATTGTGTGGTAACGAATTATATATTGATATTACCACACTATACCATATGGTATTGTATGGTATTGTGTGATATTACCACACTATACCATATGGTATTATGTGGTAACGAAATATATATTGATATTACCACACTATACCATATGGTATTGGGTGGTAACGAAATATATATTGATATTACCACACTATACCATATGGTATTGGGTGGTAACGAAATATATATTGATATTACCACACTATACCATATGGTATTAGGTGGTAACGTAATATATATTGATGTGACAAATTTTTTCATACCATATGGTATGGTCAATACCAGTCATTACCATATGGTATAGACTGGTAATAACTGACAAATTTTTTTATGTCTGAAAAATATCAAAGTGGATATCATTTTGAAGAACACAATTAATCTGATCTAACTGTGCAAAAAAAAAATTTTAATTCCGACTTAAAACGAATGAGAAATCGTCCGTTAAAGATTAAGAGAAGGAAAATTAAAGGTTGCTTGAGAAGAGAGAAGGCGCTGATGTGATCTGGTCAGCGTCAGCGCGTCAGAGACATCATTAAATAGGGGGTGCATTTTTACCTTAGTGCCCCTCCGTGTTTAATTTAAATAAAAAGAAAAAGCTCACACGTGGGGACACATGATTGGATTACTGATAGTTACTGATAGTAAGGATACTGACCTGATCTGGTCCCCTAAGACAGCCATATGTGTGTTCCTAGGCTATAGACTTATAGTGACATCCACAAGGATTATATTTGCTATGATCCTATCATGTATCGTGTTCGTATTGCTGCCACAATTGTTTTCTTTGAAAACTTTCATTTTTATTCTCCCGAGAGTTCTAATCCTTTGTTCCTTCTTGTCTCTTCCACTCTTCCCACGTTTAATGATGATGATGAAGATCTTGATATGGATATGCTGCCCGCTATCTAGGGGTGTCGGTTCGGGTCGGGTTCGGTTATCCAAACCGAAACCCTAAAAAATCCGAAAACCCGAAATCGAAAATCACCAAAACCGAACCCGAACCTGATAAGGACTTGCGGGTTTTCGGGTACCGAAACCCGAAAATTCATTATCGGGTTCGGTTAAAGCAAAACCGAAACCCAAAAACCCGAACACTTAAAAATACGGGCTGAGTTCTATTCATTGGAGATTTTTTATCCGGAACCCGAAAAACCGATAAGCAAAACCGAACCCGAAACCGAAAAACCCGAAACCCGAAACGAACCCGAACCCGAAAAACCGACCCACCTTCTCCTCCACTGAATCTGCCTCCCACATCAAACCTTTCATCCCCTGCGAGTTCCTCTACTTCGCCGCCGAGTAATGCCTCATCTTCGACTACGTCATCACCGGACAGTTCATCATCCACATCTCCAGCGTCTTGAGATTTTGATGAGTCCCCATCTCTCGTCGCTCCTTTGGCTCTTCATCGATCACTACGTGCCACGCGTGGGCAACCTCCTCAACGGTATGATGATTTTGTGTCATACGGGGTTGATGCTTATGTTGTGCCTACACGTTATCAGCAGGCACGTGATGATCCAATGTCTGATCAGGCTATGCAGACTAAGATAGATGATGTTCACGCCAACAAGACTTGGATGGTAGTGGATCATCCACCCCCAGAGGTTCCGGTGATTGGTTCATGGTGGTTGTACTCCATTAAGATGACTCCGGCGGGTGAGATTGAGCGTCACAAAGCTAGGATCGTAGCCCAGGCGGTTTCACAAGAACATGGTGTTGACTTTGACGAGAAATTTGCTCTGGTCGCTAAAATGGCTACGGTCCGCGCTCTTTTGGCAGTTGCATCTCTTCGCCGGTTGCCTCTCTTTCAACTCGATGTCAGAAACGTGTTCTTGCATGGCGACTTGAAGGAGGTGGTGTACATAGATAAGCCCCCGGGAGTATAATGTTGGTGCTCCTAGTCAGGTCTGTCTTCTCCACCGCTCCTTGTATGGTCTCAAACAGGCTCCTCGCGCATGGTTTGAGAAATTTCAGTCTACTATACCGCAGCTCGGGATGCGCCAGAGTTTGAGTGCTCCATCATTGTTTACCAAGACCTCATCTTTAGGTTTTTTATCCTCCTCTTGTATGTCAATGATATGGTGGTCCCAGGTGATGATGTTTAGGGTATTGCGCATCTCAAGACAGGGATTCAGGCGACATTCAGTTTGAAGGACTTGGGGGAGTTATCTTATTTCCTGGGACTCGAGATTACTCGGGATAGTGGCGGGATATTCATTGGTCAGTGAAAGTATATTAGTGACTTATTAAATGATCATCAGTTTGTCGATTGTCAACCAGTTAGTACTCCTATGGAGCTCAATTTGAAATTGGGCCGTGATTCAGGAGAACTCCTTCCTGATGGTTTGCAGTACCAGAGTCTTATAGGTAGTCTAATCTACCTTGCCGCCACCCGTCCACACATTTCGTACGTTGTTCAAGTAGTGAGCCAGTTCATTGTTGTCCCGCGTCGAGATCACCTTGCCGCTGCTCATCGGATCCTGAGATATCTTCAGGGCACTCAGGACGTCGGTATGTTCTTCCCATCTACTGGTTCTAACGTCCTTCATGCATACTGGGATTCTGATTTTGCAGGTTGCATTGATACACGACGCTCCACTACCGGGTGGTGTGTTCAGTTTGCTGGGGCCTTCATTTCATAGCGTTGTAAGAAGCAGGATAAAGTGTCGAAGTCTTCTACTGAAGCAGAGTATCGCGCCATATTTGATGTCTATTCTAAACTTGTCTGGATTCGGCGATTGCTTGGTGATTTGGGTGTGACGTGCTCCGTTCCCCTCGAGTTGTTTGTGGATAATACTAGCGCTATCCAGATCACGATTAACCCAGTCCTCCACGACCGAACGAAGCATATAGATTTTCATATTCATTATGTTCGGGACGGTTTGGTTAAGCTTCACTATGTTCGGATGGAACACCAGATCGCTGGCATTCTTACTAAGCAGTTTAATAGCAGTCGTCACTAGTACCTCTCAAGCAAATTGGTGCTTCGTCCCTGACATCAATTTGGGGGAGGTTGTTAGCGGATTAGATGTATTAATGGGCCAACGTTGATGTTTGGTGATTGCCCCATGTAATAGCCCATGCACCCAGTGGCGGATCCCGAAATTTTTTGTAGGGGTGTCTTCTTTCAAAAATTTAATTAAATTAATAATTAAATTAAAGAATACATAAATAATAAAATATACAATTAGTATAAATGTTGACAAAAAGCCACGATGTGTTTTCATATTTCAAAAAAAATATATAAGATAGATTTGGTGTGTACACTGCTCAACAAATCGGTATATCCTACTAGATTGCATATTCAATTTCTAACCTTGTTCATGATGTAATTCAAAGTTAAAAAGACTATTTCAACACTTGCAGTGTAACCATAAAATCAATTCAAATTAGGGTACCCCTGGGGATAAGAAATCGCGTTTTCACCATTACATAGTGTTTAAAATAGAACAACAAATGAGTTATAACCTAATGGAGAAAATGTTAAATAATAGGAGTGTCCTAGATTTGAATAACATAGAGTACCACTTATATTTTTGTAATCACGCAAACTACTATCGAGAGTAAGATAATCATTTATTAAAATTTTAGGGGTGTCCCAGATTACTAATTATATTTTGTTTATCCATATGAAACTACTACCGGGGGTTGAATAATCGTGTTCCCAAAATTTATGGGTGTCCCGCACCATGTATCCGCCACTGCATGCACCCATGCACCTGCTGACGTGATTGTGTAGGGTTTGTGTGGTCTATTTATGTTGCTTGTAATCCTCCGTCGAAAACTCAAGAAAGCTAGTACGATTTTGTGCTTGCAAAGTCATACTCTCTCGTGGATTAGTCTTGGCATTCCAGGGATACCACGTAAAATATGTGTGTTTGTTTCTGTGCGTTTGATTTCTGTTTAGTTCGTTAACTTATATTGGAAGAATTTGGATGGGAAATTTATTGAGTGGAATCCTTTCCGCCCACTAGATGACACAAACGCAACTCTTATTGATGATGTTCCTGAGGTCGACTATTCCTACTCGTCAGTTTGCACCTCTCAAGGAGCCTTACACCCGATTATCCATGGGACACAATGCATTGAGTGTTTGGAGACG